TATTTAAAAAATTTAAATTATTATGGAACGTTGAACGTTGAGTAAGGTGCTGTAATCGTCGCGACGTTCGTCAGGAGAAGAAAAGATCGATGCCTCCCTCTTTAAAATCGTTTAAAATCGCTTGACTCTCGACATAATGTTTAATCTCGCCGTTTTGGCATTGTGCGACTGTATCGAAGTTATCTGGCACAGAGCGTCAAGGAATACTCTATTTACAAGAAACTTAGTACTTAATAGTTATTTATAGTGATTGGCGATACAGTGGCACAATAATCGTTCTCATCGGCGAACGAATTCCCGAAATAATGGAACACGTGGCTAATAGCGAAAGTTCACCAAGTACTGCTAAGGTGATCGCGAGCTCGATGCTTGGATGCATCAAGATTCGATGAAAAGTACGGTCACTACGACTCGTATTTCGTACGTTTGAACGAAGTCTCGTTGAACACTCGTGAGAGATCGCGGATCATATTTACAAATTCACAATTCCATCTCGACAGTTGCCGAGACGAGTTCGAGACGATTTTCGAGAATCACGATCACGAAGATAACTCGAGTTCTTCTCTTATTATGGCAAGACAACGGTTTACACATTTTTTGGTAGAGCACCAATCTCAAACTGTCGAACGAGTCAGCGGAAAAGAAAAAAGAAGAACAATACAACGTTCCCTCGCAATCCCGAAACCCGTCCGTTTCATTACTCTATCGCTCGTGTCCCTCCTCGTCACGTTTTTATGGCCTACGTAATTGGCAATTAAAGCGTATTCCATTCGCGGTGGCGTTTTGGTTATTCGCGCGCACTTTGGATTGAGCATTTCCCCCAATTGTCAGAAAAGAGAAGAGGCTTCTTTCAAGCGATTTGGTCGCTGGTTAAAACAAAGCCCTAGTGTGTGTCTAGTCTTGTGTACGTCGGTTCAGACGTACTCCTCGGATGGCTTAGGTATACTAGCTGGTAGCCTGAGCGTGCTCGGAACGCGATTGGCACTGTCCGGTAGTTCGGCGATGTCGATGAACACGCCGACCAAACTGTCGAAGTTCAGTCCCCAGTTCAACAGGTAATCCCAGCTTAACGCTGTGGTGGTCGTCGACGGTGATCCGCTGTTGTTCGGTCTGTACAGTCCACCCATGTGCGTCGACAGGTCATCGTCCGAGGCTACCAAGGTACTGAGAGACCCGCGGAAAGAGCTGTCGAACCCGTCGTAGTTCACGTTCGGCGGCAGCGGCGGCTTCGTCGTCTGCGAGGACTCGTTGCTACGTTGATTCACTTCCTCGTCGTCCTGTTTCGCGAACGGGTTGTCCGATCGTTTGTCGCCGACCAATGAGGTGTTGTCGTACTCCGAGCAGGTGAAGCTGTCGTTACCGCTCTCGTCGGTGGTCGACGAGTTTCTTCGTTCGAGCCTCTCGACCGGGGGTGTGTGCCGCCGGTGAAGGTGCAGGGGCCCGTGAGCCGGTGGTCCCCTGGCCTCGCTGGAGGAACTCACCGCGTCCAAGGTTGACACAAGGCTCGAGGTTCTCGGCCTCGAGTTCAGTCTTTCGATCTCCTCCGCCGTTAATCCCATCGGGCCGGACGACACGTTGTTCACAGAGTTTTCGTTGTTCGATTGGGGCGCCTTCCGACTGGCCGTTGATCCGGACAATTGACTCATGATCGGGGAGTTCAGACTCCGTTCGCTGTTGGAATTCAAAGCGTCTTTGCCCACGCCGCCGGACGAGGACGTGGTGGCGAGGAGAGCGCTTTGCAGAGGTTTCCCACTGATGTCGTGCAATGTCAGGATTCTCGGTTGCTGGGCGGATAATTCGCTGCTGGGCGATAACCTGGCTAACGGGGTGCTTTGCAGCAGTTTCTGGGTCGGGCCAGGCGGTTGGTTCACGTTCGGTGGCGGCAATGCCCGCGGCGGGAACGGCCCGGTGTGCCTGTGTTGCTGGCCCGTGTGCTTGTGATGGTTCGCGTAGTTGTTGATAGGCGGAGGAGTGGCTTTGTACTTACGCATGCCGTCTCGATAACCTTTGTAATGATAGACGATGTCGATGTCGCTCGGCGCGATCGAGCTCGCGTTCTCCAGGTCGTAATGCTCGGGCATGTCGGGCTCCGGGTTGTGTTCATGAGAATGTAGAGAGGTTTGAGCGGGCGGCGGAAGTGGGGGATGTTCGTCACGAATGGGTGGTGACTTCGTCACTTCTCTCTCGATGATGTCCGGCCTCTGCGGCCGATGTTCCGCGGTCGCGTTAATTTCCCGTTCTTTGTACTTCTTCGAGATTAACTCTGGACCCATGTGACTCACTCCTCGCAAGTCCGACGTGTCGGAGATGTAGGTGTTCTCGTGGCGGGACATTAGGTTGTCGTTACCCGAGCCAACTAACGGGTTGCCGGTCATTATGGCGTTGGTGTTCTTGTTCACCACCGACGGGGCGGATTTCTCCTTGTTCTGTCGTCTTAGACGGAACACGATGAAACTGACCAGTATAGCGATCAACAGGATGACGAAGAACACTATGACCAGAGTGATCCCTATGCTGAGAGGATCGGCAGTGGCCGCCGCGCTGATTCCAATCGGACCTCTGCAACCGGTGCTCACCTTCGCGTGATACAGCACCTCCTTGAAGATCGAGCCGGACCCATTGAACGGCTGGACCTCGTTGTTGATGGTGAAGTTGGCCAAACAACCCTCGAAACTCCTAGCGCCAGCGCTGTGTGCGTAGTACAGGTCTTGGCTAACCCCACCGATCGATAACACGGACAGATACGGGTCGAGGAAATCGTGGACACTGACAGGGTCCAACTCCTCGCCGGTTTGCACGCCGTCGACGAATAATCTCAAGCCTCGGAGGTAGGAGTGCAAGGTCAAGTTGTGCCAGCGGCCGTCCGCTAAACTTTCTTCAATTTTCGCGGTCATGTTCACGGGCGATCCGAGAAGCGACGCGTAAAATAGTTGGCCATTACGCAGCTGTAACAGGAGATATATTCGTAAATGATAAAAAATGCGAAAGGAAGAAACGAAAGAAAAGAGGATGTTTCTTTATAATAATTTGAAATGGAAAAGGAGAAACTATAACAGGAGATACATCCGTATAATAAATAGTAAGAAACAAGGAAGGAGGGAAGGAAAGAAGGGATGTTTTTTTTTTTTTCTATGACAATTTGGAACTGTTCTTACTTTCATCAGCTGTAACAGAAGATATAAATAATAAAATAGTAAAGAAGGAAAAATTTTTTTTATTAGTTACATAACAGGAAATATTTGTATCGTACATAGAAAGTAAAAAATGTGGAAGGAAGGAAAGAAAATATTAGCTATATTTTGCTCTTTTTATAATAATTTATGAAAAGGTTGTTGAAAGGATTTCTACTGGTTATAACAGGAGATATTAAAGCTATAACTATAACTATATCAACAGATATCCGTATAGTAATTAATAAGAAAAGAAGAGAAGAAGGGAAAAGGGACGTTTCATTTTCTGAATCTCTTTTTCTTACCTCTACCGATGTAAAGTGTTTATTGGTCGCGGCATAGATGAGAATACCATCGGGCTTCACCGTTCTGAACATCAAACCGATCGTTTTGAAGGGTGACGGATTAGTGATGAAGCTGGTGTCTTCACTGACAGTTCGTTTCGCTCGATTCTTCTGCCACATCGTCGAGCCTCTGTAGAGATACTCCAGTAACTGCATCCTTCTGTGTTTTTCCGAGATCTGCATGACAAAAAGATATCGCTTAGCTTATCGGTTGACTGAAATTAATTTAACTCTCAAGTAGTATCGTGGCTCTAGTAAATCCATTATATTAGAAAAATTTGTTCTGGACCTTATATTCTCTCTAATTGGCAATAAAACTAAATTACTTTGAATTAAAAATTCCAAATTCGAGCCACTGTGAAACATAAATTTTTATAAGCCATAACGTTTTATGATATCAGTTACTCTTGTCACTAACTCTAAATGAATAATTCTGAATTGATTTAGATTGATTAATTAAATTAAATAATTATAGTTAATTTTTAACTTCGAGTTGATTTTAAAATTTCAAACGAATAAATTCAAGTGTAAAATTCGTACGTACTTTAAACTCGACGTATCCACCCTCGCTCAATGTGATCGGTTCGAGCGCACCCTCGCAATTTGGCGTGATTACAGATCCACATCGGCAAGACACCTGATGCCATTTGTCGTAACACTTGGAATTTGCGCCGCAAACGGACGTCGAGTCCTTGCCACCCTTCAAACAAGGGTTGTTCTTCGATCTGACACAGGTGGATTTCACTCCACGCGACGCTAGTGGATTTGATAGATTCAAGGCTCTTCCATTTATGGAAACCGAGTGGACGCATCCGACGAAATCGTCGGAGTGCACTTGGCCTGGCCTCTCGAGGACTGGATCGGCATTTTCCAATCCTCCCACCAAGAGTGGATTGTTGTTAAAATTCAAGGTCCTGTGGAAACAAATTTTCGTTCGTCAAAGAATTAATCCCTTTGAGACGATATATTTGTTGAGACAATCGAAAGTTATTTCATCTTCTATGCAACAGTTTCTATATCGAATTCTATAATTGGGTGTATACAGGGTGCGGCCCTGGATGGAGTCCCACATTTCAAAAGATCACTGAAGAGTTCCTTGAGCAGGTAGGGGGTCGTGGCAGTTCCTGTTAGGTCGGGTGAGCAATGCAGTTTTCAATAGCCACCATGCTTTAGTCGGGTGAACATCGGGGCTTTGTTGTCGAGGCTTTTTTTAAAAACGGCGATTCCGTGATTGCGACGCAGAGGGCCTTTTGCACGCGCTTCGGTTTAAACCGAAACGACGGTGTTCCTGATCGGAAAACGATATTGAAATAGGTCCAGAATTTAAGGGCAACGGTATCTAAAAAAACCTAAATGCCTAAAAAACCAGCTGGGTGTTTCAAGTACGTGAGAACACCTGAAAAAATTGCCGTAGTCAGAGCATCTATCATTGCGTTCTGCTTGGAAACATGCCTCTGCTCTTGGGATGTCGGATCGAACGGTGAGGCGAATTTTACACCCATACAAGATTATGATTGCTCAGGAATTGAGTCCACAAGAGGAAGACGTAGAGATTGTTGCAACGCCATCCTTACAATTGTGTTTTCCAGCGGTATTGTGTGGAGTAGCAACGAAGCGCATTTCCATCTTTGTGGCGTGGTTAATAAACAAAATTTTCGATTCTGGGCTGAGAATCCAACGACCTCTTCAGAGCCCAAAAATTACCGTTTGGTGTGGACACGTGACATCAGACCGGTGTTGTAACATGTTGGAGAATTTTTTACGCCCTAAAATGGGAGAATATGAAGATGAAGAAGATCCAAATAACTTCTGGTTTCAACAGAACAGCTCATATAGCTCGTCGTTCTCGAGCCATTTTGCTCGAACAAGAGATGTTCCCCAGTCGCCTGATCTTCTTATGAGGAGATGTTATATGGCCCGCTCGCTCTCTAGATCTGAGCCTCTGTGACTTTTTCCTGTTGGGGTATCTCAAGCAGTTTATAAGCATCGTCTTTGAACCCTAGAAGATCTCAAGAAGGCCATTAAAAAGGAAATCGCCGGAATTCCTCAAGATATGTTGAAGAAAATAATGGAAAACTTTCAGGAACGCCTGCATACGTGCATCGTCCAAGGCCATCATTTGGACGATATTATCTTTAAAAGCCCAAAAAAACTGCATTATATGTGCTTTAAAATGAAACTGTTTTTTCGTATTTTTTACCGTTTTTTCATAATTCACCTTGGAAATGTGGGACTCCATCCTGCCCTGTATATATAAACGAAATTAAATTAAGTGTGTAATATGTATCCATTTACTATTCTGCATAACATTAATAGGATATTTAGTAGCAAAGTATGTAATTGATACCTCAAAATTTTTTAATTGTTCGTTATTTTTTAGAATTAATTGCTTTGCAACCGAGTTATTATTTTATAACACAATAATGTTTTGGGCATGTAGTTCAATCGTATAAGGAACACATTTTAAGTTAATTGGTTAATTAGTTATTTTTTGTAAAATTTGCGTCGTTGTGGCTTTTACATAAAATTATTCCTAAAAACAACAATATCTTTCATTTAATATTCGCTATGAGGTTGATCGGTCAATTTTTCTTCAAAGTATGAACCGTTCCATTTACCAAATCGACCACAACTGTACAAAACAAAATGTAGAGAAACTGATAGAAATAATATATACATTCTTTTTTAGAATTCCTCTTAATATTTAAATTCAAATTGTTACTGACACACACACAC